ACATACCTATTATTAAAATAGGAAAAATAAGTTTAATTTCTATTAACACTAGCTATATTTAAATAAAATGAGAAATTCTCCTTCATTGTTTACGAAGGTCTTTATTAATGTTAGAGTAAAGGACTCTGTCGCGTTCTAAACACGAAAAGAGTGCGGGTTGTTTCGCCATGTTACACCAGAAACTACATCTGCAGTTCATGTTTTACTTTATAAAAGTATTCACAATTATTCTGAAAACAAAGCGACCATTCTCTGTTCGCGACAAGCAACCCAAGCCGCACCCTCGCTTGGAGCGAAAATTTAAATGCGATTAAATTCACCGTAAAACACAAGAAGAGCGTAATGTATGTCACACGTCACTAGCTCGAATGATACTGAAATTCTAACAATATTGTTTTTAGGGTTCCGTAGCCAAAGATTAAAACGGGACCCTATTACTAAGACTCCAGCGTTTGTCTGTCTATCCGTCTGTCACCAGGCTGTATCTCACGAGCCGTGACAGTTAGACAGTTGAAATTTTCACAGTTGATGTATTTGCCACTATAACAACAAATACAAAAAAAATGAATAAAAAAAAATTCAGTGGGGCTCCCATACAACAGACATGATTTTTTTTTGTCGTTTTTATAAATAATGGTACGGAACCCTGTGTGCGCGCGATTCCGTTCGCACTTGACCGGTTTTTTCTAATTTGTTTTCTTTTCTGAAAACCACTATAGGAAATTTCCTACCGGCATCACAGTACCTTTCATAAACAGAAACAATGGACACAATATGACAATGTAACATGACTTCGAACGAGAATTTATGAAGGGCAAATTCTAATCCCGTCTAAGAATCGAACCCAAACCACCTGAAGCTTTGTGTTATCTATCAAATTCTGTATACATTTTCAACCGAGCTTACTTAGTTCAGCTCATTCTGGCGAACTAGAGCGGTAATGTACATTTCGGTACATTTTGTGTTACATTTCAATAAAATTAAGCCATTAGACACTTTGTAAGGAATTTAAACTACAGGCAATTCGTATATAAGAAGCGACAATTTCTTTTATCTATTAGATGCCCGTATTTTCTTCCATATGAATTATGCAATGGGACGGACGGATATCGCTGTTATCTTGTATATAATTTAACGGGGATCTGTTTGTTTTGATTTTGAGGGATCGCGCGGACGACTATTCGTATTTACGATGGTTTATTCTTGTACAATATGGCCGCGGTTGATTTATGGATGTTTCGTCACCCACGCTTCGTTACTACCTTGAAGTTTTGAAATTGACTATACTCCTATAAAAAAGTAGTGTAGGCTCTTAATCTTTTACTAATATCACCAAACCAGTCGTACCTATTCTGTTATAAACAAACAATTATGGTGGTGGTAGGGCCACGCAACAGCCTTCCCTGTTGCACGAATGTGCAGGTCCGTCCAAAGGAGCAATATGGGGAAGTGAAAGTGATACGTTTAATCTGGTGAGTGAGGAAGCCCATTTTATCGCTTAACATCATGAACCGTCAGCTCGCTTGCCACGTTCCCACAGTGAAATAAAAATAGTACGCCGGTCGACAAACTCCGGTCATAGATGTTAGAAGGATCACGTTAGAACTCTGTAAATTCATTGGGACTCCTAACCGCAACTTTAGATCAAGAGGATCAACTTTAGGCGACATCGACAAAAAGAAGGCGTCACGAATCATCGTACCACGTAACACCCTGCCTCGTCTCGCCAGTGCTTAACCGTTTCATTAAAACAGAAACTGATCCGGAGCGAGTCGAAATCGAGCCTCCATTTCCTTCGCAAATAAAGTCCGGGGCTTATCGTCCATCGGGGAATCCGACCCATTTCCAGCTAAGCACTCGCGGATATCCGCAACGTTCCAAAATCCGCGTTTTATGGATTCCGCCCGTGGAATTACAGCCGTGCTGCTCGAGCGATCGCGGTCGCTTTATTGGATTTCGCCAATCACTGATCACGCCGCCGTTAGCTTATTTCGGCCATCGGAAATTCGAAATTCCGTAACAATACCGTTGTTAGCAGCATTGCCGGCGAACGGATTTGTGCATTCGCTATTTTTAAATGGTAGTAACACTGTTTCGTCGATATCGTTGGCTTTTTTTACGTTTTTGTTTTTGAGGGATTTCAGCTAATCGAGTAATTAGAAACCGGATGCTTGGCGAGGACCACTATTGGCACTCCATCCTTATAACCTCTTTCCTATCCAGCATTTAAAGCGTGAGCCTTTCGATAAAAAAAAATAATCGCTCTAACACTAAGTCCAGCGCTTTTCAGCCATTGGCCATAAATTCATCGCTTCATCATTCAGCATTCAGCAAACATCTCTATTAAACGCCACCGACTCTTACTGTTATTTACTCATATATATCACAAGTTTATAAATAACGATATTTGACGTAGCATATGCAAATGACGCATTTTTAATACATCTAAATATCTTTTTACATATTCAGAGTTTAGAAGAAGCAAATATGTAGAAAGTGTTCTATGATACATGACAATTATGTAAATATTCTATAAATAACATTCTGAAATATTAAATATATAACATAATTCAAAATATTACTTTCGTTCCCTCCCAGAATAAATAATACGAGTAATAGAAAAATGGGACGAGTAGAGGATTATAAGCATTCTAATCTAATAATTAAAGCAAATTTTCAGATATTCCGATACAAATGACGTAAATATCTAAGAATGTATTCGTTAGCGATTTGGTGCGGTCCGTTTCATCGACGGCCAAAGTAAATAGCATCGCTTATTATAGACGTTGATAAATATGATAAATATTGAATGTTTGTGAATCTTAAATCAGTCTAAATTTATAAATTATATGCAAACGTGAATATAAACGTAGCAAGCACTCCGCACGATAACGAGCGGAAATGGGCAACAGAGATCTTTTACAAAAGAGGAAAATGCAGACAAACCCAAAAGTTCAATAATTACACCAGAAGTTTATATTAGAAGATGAAAGTTGAGTGTGTAAGAAGGCGGAAACGCAGTCGAATATCTCGACTATAATGCTAAGGTCGCGTACGTTTTTGTATCCTACAACTCGTGAACAATTTCGAAATTAAAATTTGTGATTATGTTGATAATCGCATAGCCTAAAAAGTAACGTTGCACATTATGCTGAACAATTGACCATATTGTTTGTGTATGTATTTAAGAAGTACTCAAAGCGTATTTTTTTTAAAAATTTACGTCCTACAGTTTTCGCTGCTGGTGACAAGGGAGCAGGATCTTTTCTCCCTAAAACTTTAAGTATTATCTATCCAGCGAAGGATGCAGCTAGCGTTCTTGGCACAACGCCGCGTGGACTAGGTTACAATACTGATTGGCAAATATGCGATATAAATATCCAATAGAAAATTGTGAACTTCGAAATAAAAGTGCCACCTAGATCTTAAACGGAAAATCTGCAAGAAGGCGATGCTTCTACTTGTCCACAAGCGATTAATCGAAAGAATTATAACTACTATACTTAATCTAAAATCTACTAAATAACTAAGTCTAGCAGTTCCTGTGTTTACGTAATGATATGAAACTGTTTTAGCTCTTTTTATTTTTGAATTTAACTATTAATATTAACTGAATTTTGAGGATCTCATTTCCAACTCTTTAATTGACGAATTGAGTGGGATGTTTCTTAAATTTTGTATTGTCAATTTCTTTTACCAAACTGTATGCATTCACATCGTCGAAAGAGTGTAACGAACGTTATAACCATATTCAAACGGGGGCGACGCGAGTTTACTGACCTCGCGCGTCTAACGCGTCAGCAACATTTCCCATAACATTCTCCCTCCCTTGTACATAACTCACTATTTCAAGCCATCAGCGTATCCCGTATTCGCTGAATGTCAAATAATAAAGTAAAAAAAAAAACAGTAACAGTTTTTTTTATTATATTTAAGACTATTACTATAGTTACTTTTTTTACTGAAAAAGTGTTATGTAGTAACGATACTAAAAACTTCCCTAACTACGCTTTGGCAATATCAAATGCTTTTAAACACATATACGTATTTAAATATTTGAAAAAAAAAGATATCTAACATCACTAGATATTTTCTATTTCTATTTACTGTAATAAAAGTTTTTGATGTTTCCAACCAAGAGTACGCAATAAAAAATTCTTAAATGCTCATTTTTGATTGAATTGGTCATAGCATCGCCCGAGGATTACTGCCACTAAATGTACATAATATAATAAGAGATTAAGATGGCCTTGTTCATAGTAAATAAAAAAACGTTCATAGTAATTAACAAATATTTTAAATAAATATTCAGGTATTATTACACTTATCACAATAATGGTGAGAACACATCAGAATAACTATTACTGTTATCTATTTTTTGTTATAAACTAAGAACTTTCGTTTCAAAATTTGACATGTTGTCTATGTGAAATCAGATAAATAGTTAAATCATATGCTTTGATTACTTTGATGTCTGTGGAACTACAGATAAAATATTGTCTCCAAATGGTTCAATATTTATATGCAATAGAATTGTGTTCACAAATCACAGGACGAACGTATGCTAGATTGGGATAAATTGTTTAAAATCACTACATAGTATAAAACAAAGTCGTCCCGCTGTCTGTCTGTCCCTATGTATGCTCAGATCTTTAAAACTACGTAACGGATCTTGATGCGGTTATTTTTTACTGGAGGACGGTTTATATGTATAATACATTGCACCCGTGCGAAGCTGGGGCGGGTTGCTAGTAGAGAAATAAATAACGATATAAAGTTGCAGTGAACGGTAAAAAAATCTCAATGATAACTTTGAACAAATTTTATTTCAAAGTTCACTGCTCGTGGAAATATGGTTACCGCCAATTACAATTCAGAATAAATGAAAGCCCAACGTACGCTGTTAACAAAAATCAGCACATTTTATGTGAGAAATACGAAATGTGAGGGAAATGTTTATAAACCTTTTCTAATACATCCGTTTTATTCTCTTGTTTCAGGATGAGGGAGTACGTAGAGGAAAATGAAAAAAACGACCCGCTTATACACGCCCCCGACAAGAAAAACAACCCTTGGGCTGAGAAAGGGAAATGCATCATAATGTAATCGTATAATTGCTAAGTTAACAAAAAATATCACCGAAAAATTCTAAAAGACATAACGTTTTGGCTACGATGAATTAGGGAACGGTCTGGCCGAACGTACCGAGGTACCATCGGTTGCGATTTGGTGTGCTCAATGTTAGGGGATCTGAACGAGGAAGCAATTGGACGAAAATCCGATGTTTTGAACAGATCGAGATGTTACGAACTGCCAGACGATATAAATGTAATAGCAACGTAGTTAACATGTCCATCGGTCGAAAAGTTGATGTAGTAATGCCAAAACCTCAGTTTGTAGTTTCGTTTCATTGGATTCGTTTTATGTTCAACAACACGATTATCTAGTCCTTATAATTCTATGTAATGTAAAGAATGTACATTTTGACTGTGCGAGACGCAAGGATGTACTTATGAATGTTACTTTGAAAGATTTAAAAATGGTTGTAAATACGTTAAATTTTGTATTTCTAGTAATAGAATGTTTGGTCATGAGTCTGCCAGTAGAGGTAAAAGCTAAAGCAAATGTTGGCCGTGTTGGAGATTGTAAATTTATTGTTACTACAAAACATATTGCAGCAACCGACGTTATTTTCATTTCGTATGAAGAGTTTATTTAATATGTATAAATTGTTTTCTCGAATGCATTGAAAATAATATGAGATACATCTGAATTCATCTTAGGTTTCATTGTTGTTAAAAAAGAATCCATTTCGGCTTCATACATAATGCAACTTCCTCTTCGATTCATGTATGGACTTGCATTGGATTCTCACGTGAACTAAACTAAAATCGTAGAACGTAGACCGCATCTCTTCTGCGTTCTTGCTTTGACAATTAACCGTACGATTTATTTATTCTTCGAGCAAAAACTCCGCCGCAGAACTAGGAGTTAAACGATAGTCGAACACGAAGTTCCATAGAGCTCATGAAACTTTGTGTTTGAACGAAATGATAATATTAAACTATTAAAATATAGGGTATAATCGCAAATCACAACTTAACATCTATTCGTTGAATCACGGATTATTGAGTCACTGAGGAATTAAAATTATTGGCAATAAAGGAACGTAATGTAAGGAAACTTAGACGGAGATACTTGAATGGAGTCGTTAAACTTAGAACAGAGAAATGATAATTTAAACTTATGATGATAAATCGTTATTAATTACTACGTATCTTCTTTGAACGCTAAGTAATTATAAGCTGATTTAGGATACTTTTTTTATGAATACACGGGTACATTCTGCAGTGCCATTATCTAATAAAGCTTCAATTAAATAATTCTTAGCTCTCTATCTTCTACGCTCCACATTAGTTAGTCATCTTGAGACATCCACCACTCATTTTATATGCGTAATACTGCAAGGTTAAGTTCGTTCAATCTGTTTATCTTCGGATCAGCATTCCATATTATCTGTAACATATATTATGAGTACCTATATGTCCATCAAACTATTTATGCCAATTCCCAATATATTAATTTAAGTATTTGAAATGAACTCTCAACATGACATTTTAAATCTAACACTCAATTAGCGTAGTATAATACAAATATTAAATTGACATAACTCTTACCTAAGTCACAAAATTACTCACTAAAATGAACTATTGTAGCTTCCAAAATAAACTTCTTCTAAATTATATCTAAGATTTTTCAGTCTATACGTGGAAATATTCTCAATACAAGTCAATGACTTGAAATACGTTGGAATGGATTCGAGAATATTTGACTTTAGACTTGAGTAGTACTATTAATCTAACATTCCTAATAAAAGGGTTTTCGAAAATCCTAATTTCGATTAAAATAGAAAAAATTAACTTACGCACCGTAGGTTAGCGTAGCATTAAATTTAAAGAAAACTAACCTTAAAAGTTAATCCTTAAAATAATGGAAAGCGTTTCTCCTAATCATATCTAGACATGAACTAATGAAGAAATCATTCTGGCTGTGAGTACTGGCGGATTGTTTAGATACTTATCACTCGAGTCATTAGGATCGCACAGTTCAACTTTCAAGTGAATAAAACTTATGCTAACATGGACAATAAATCAATATGAACAATGAACTTATTCCTTGGCGCAATCATCTTGAAAACATAAATCTAACTCGAGTAACATATGTCAATTCCTCATACGTAGATACATTCTCTTATCCAGTCTTCGTCAACCTCTTTCCTTCGTTTTATTTGTTATTCATATCTCATTAATCGTAACATCATTATAAATTCACGTCTATCCCTTCTTAATCATGAATAGTATTGAAATAGGAATCTAGCAAGTAAAGCGTAGATTTAGTTATAAAAAGAAATTAGTTATTAAGAAATATAAGAATCAAAGTTGTTTGTTAACATATATGATAAAATATGCAATTCAGAGGCTTAGCCGTAGACTTAATTAAAATCGAAATGTAATCGTTTGTTTAAAATGACCTAGTTAATACAGTTAAGGGATTCTATCGGGGGTTACGGCGCGGCGGAGTTTTTCTCTAACTGGCAAACTTTCTGATCTACGTCTTCGGATATTTTCAAAGCATTCGACTCCATTACGTGTATTAAGTTTCAGAGCTTTTATTTTTACTTTTCTTTTGTTATTTTATTTAAGTTCAACGAAACCAAAGATTTTTTTTATTCGCTTATAACTTGGATTGATTAAAGTAATAGTGATTTGAATGGAGATTAAATAAAATGTTGTGGGAAACACCATTGTAATGGGTTAAATTTTATGTCGACGATATTTTATTGGATCTTCATCAAGTAATTTAAGGTAATGATTAAAAAATTAACGGTAATTTTTAACGGAATATTCCAAATTAATAACTAGGTAAGGTGATATTGGAAATGATTTTTTTAGAATCACTAGGCTAAGATATTGTATGTTATTATTAAATATGTAATCAGGAATCACTGAAATAAATTAAAAACTATCAAACTGCCGTCTTTTATTGTGAAGTTTTATAGTATATTGATTAAAAAGTTTTGCAAATTCCCCCGTTTGTAGTGTAGTAACCTTCATAATATTTTACTTTTTTCTTATAAAGATAACCTCTGAAGGTGAAACGCATGTTACTAAAACCTATATTTAAATACACAACGCAGTTTTATTAAAAGACGTAAAATATTCATTCCAACAAAATAATTTTAAATTATGTGTAAAATAGCCTGGTCCCGAGTTTGTTTTTTATGTGACAAGGTGGCAAGTGAGCAGGCAGTTCCCAATACTCGTTGGTTCGTAGATGCTTGTCACCTTTTAATAAAGTAGGCTACATTCTTTGAGAATTAAAAAAGAGGATTCAAATCGTGTAGAGACTATTGAGCAGGAACAGTAAAGAATTATCTACCTCTTACACTACAAAAAGAAACTGATATACAATAAAGAAATAAATAAACTGATATAACTTTATGAATGTGGTAGTGTTGTCATGAAATTATACATGAAGTGGGATTTTTGGTGAAACTGTGAAAACCGATCACGGGCAAACGTTAAAATAGTCACAGAACAAATACAAATTTTATTACAGAATTAATAATATGTCATAATCGTATTACTAATGTATCTTTACCACTTAATGTTATAAAGCAATTCTTTTATCACAGTAATTGGAGCAGATTTAGGGAAAACTTACAATCTTCTTGTTAAATAAATTCCTCCAAGGTCAATTCTTTTCATGTCTACTCTTATTATTCCAGATTGCTTAAAAATATGTGGACACAAACATGTTATTTTAGAAGCATACCAACGCTATATTTGTATAATTAGACCAAAATATATATATTTTTATAGACTATAAAACGTGATTAACGTTAATTATTTTCCTTCATTTCATTCTTTAACTTAATAAAGGATATAATGTCTTAAACTATTCAACTGAATACGTATTATTTTATTTTATTATAGACCCGTGATAGCTCAGTGTCCGGGCACTCGCCTTTAATTCAATATACTCGAGCAACCTGAGTTCGATCTCCGGTACCGGCATCAATGAAGTTTTTAACTTTAAGTGCTGACTTATCACGTGCTCCGCGGTGAAGGAAAAACATCGTGAGGAAACCTGCATATTTTCGAAATAATAACAAAAAAATATATATATTTCGAAAATATGTGAAGTCCACCAATCCGCAGTGGGGCCGCGTGGTGGACTATGCCCTGATACCCTCTGTATAGAGGAGGCCTTTTCCCAGCAGTGGGACATATATAGGCTGTTACTTTACTTTACTTTAAAACTGGCGTTTTTTGTATAATCAATAAATAAAAAAATGTTTCCTTCCAGAAAACTTATATTTTATGTCAATGTAATGTCAAATACACCTAACATAATTTGTTGTATGCAGTTGCGAATAAATATGTATTATAATTAACGTTGACCGAAAAGTGAAATTCTACTTAAAGAAAAAAAATTTATCATTAATAATTCATAATAGGAGTTTCAAATAATCCCAAACCAATATTCCAAGGAGGGAAATCAAATTTTTTTAAAGATATAGCAGAAATTATTATCGTCATTTGTGATATTTAAATTGCATTTTCTTCGAGTTCTATTAAAAACTGAGTCGAGTACATGAAACACTTTACTTTAATAGTACTTGTAACTTAGATCTGCTGGGACAAGCAAGCTATTATAATGTATAAACTCCACGCGTACAGGAATCTTTCAGAGTTAACTCTCTCGTTATAGTTCACCATTGCCTTCCACTTCTTGCTGCGCCCCTAAAGACCATAAAGCAATAATTGCTGTGCGAGTTAAAAGCATTCTATGCACAATCGTAACAATGTTTTCTGCAATTTAAATACAAATTACTTTGAATGCAGAGTCAAATAAAGTGACTACTTGAAATGAGTGCTTTTAGTTCGAGCTTTTGCTTTGGAGTTTCGTTTACATAGCCATGCTGTATATTTTTCCGGCACAGGTAGCGACGAGTTTCTAAGAAAAAGTAACAATATTAACCATTTAAATATGTAGAAAAAGTACGAAAAGATTGTCGCCGCTGTGGGAATCGAACCCAC